CCCAGACCTCACCCTGTGGCCGCGGCCCAGGATGCCGGCGCTAATGGTGGCGGCCATGTCCCGGTGAGGCGGCGGACGGGCCTGTCCTCACCGCCCGGGCCCGGCCACAGGGAGAGTCCGAGAGCCCGGGCTCGATCGCAGCCCAGCGCCCCCTGGCGCCGCGGCGGCCCCGCCACGCTCCTCCCCCAACCCCCCCGCACCTCCCCCCCCCATGGGGCTACTGCCTTCCCCCACCCCCCCCAGAGCCTCCCACCCCCACAGGGCTGCTCCCCCCATGGGGCTGCTTCCCCTCCCCCCTCCCCCCCCGGCCACATCCCCCCTTGGGCACAGCAGCTGTTTCAGGACCCGGGGTTCACCCTTATATATGTGGGGTGCTACCACAAAATTTGGGATTGGGTAACCCCAGCTAAATGCCACAAACAGCAGCAGGTAAGAGGGGGAACTTACCAAAACATTGGCTTTAAACTTACCTGGTGTTTCTTTGTATAGGCTGTTGGGAGACAGCTCCTAGCCTGTGAAATGTCCCAGCACACAGGCTCCCACATAAGAAGCCCCCAGGAGTATGCAGATGGTCCCAGTGAATGGAGGGCTAGGCCGATAGACTATGCATGTTCCCGACCATTATAGACACACAACTGTCAACCTTCCAAAGCTAGTATTGTTATTAGAAATAGTGTATCTAGCACCCTGAATCTACAAGCTGCAAACACCGATTAAGACATACTCCTTCGCCTGAAGAACTTATTATTTAGTGAGAGCATTTGCTCCTAGCAACAGTCCAGAAAGAAATCCTGCACCCTATGAACGCTCCCAGTGCTAGAGGGGTGCTTTCTGAACGAGCCCTTTAATATGCTTTAAATAAGACTCTTTGGAGACTCCAGGCAGTTCATCATGCCATTCTAATTTACATGGAAAGCAGTTTAGAAACTACAGTGGTGGGTGTGATAGAAAAAAACTAAAATAATTTGGGTCTAAGGGTATGTCTACACCCAGCCGCTAGTTCGGCGGCTGGGAATCGAAGTTCTGGGTTCGACTTATCGCGTCTTGTCTGGACGCGATAAGTCGAACCAGGAAGTGATCGCCGTCGACTGCGGTACTCCAGCTATATGAGAGGAGTACCGCGGTGTCGACGGGGAAGCCTGCCTGCCGCGTGTGGACCGAGGTAAGTTCGAACTAAGGTACGTCGACTTCAGCTACGTTATTCACGTAGCTGAAGTTGCGTACCTTAGTTCGAATTGGGGGGTAAGTGTAGACCAAGCCTAAGTGATTTACCTCAGAGGTTCTCAAACTGTGGTGGTCCACGAGCTCCACTCAGGTGATCCGCAGATAGTTCCCTTTAAGGTATGCATCTGGGTGGCCGCACACGAGAGAATGAAGGGCCACCCACCTAATTAGTGGAGCTGCGCCTGCACCCTTGAGAAGACGCACATGTAAGGTGAGGTGGTGGTGGCCTGGGGGGCAATAGGGAGTTGGTGGGAGGGGGCAGTAGGGTGAGAAGAGGCGGTGGGGAGAATTTGGGATGTGCAGGGCTGTGGCAGCCAGAGAAAGAGGTGACTTTCTCCAGCTCCAGGGCTGCAGCTGCCAAGAAGAGACACCCCCCCCTCCTTCCCAGCCCCAGCTCTGTGGCTGCTGTAGTGGGGGAGAGACCCCCCTCCTTCCCAGCCCCAACTCGGGGGCTGCTGTGGTGAGGGAGAGAAGGAGAGACCCCCCCCCTCCTTCCCAGCCCCAGCTCTATGGCTGCTGTGGTGGAGGAGAGACCCCCCTCCTTCTCAGCCCCAGCTCAGGGGCTGCTGCGGTGGGGGAGAGAGGGAGAGACACCCCCCCTCCTTCCCAACCCCAGCTCGGGGGCTGCTGTGGCAGGGGAGAGGGGCACATCCATCACATTAGAAATTTAAAACTACTGATATTAAAATATGAGTTGAGTGCTTTTATTTGTATAACAAAAAAAGTTAATTATTAAGGTTTTTTTGATATAGCGCTTTTAATCAAAATGCTTTACAATCGTTAGCTAATGGTACAAACAACATTTGGAAAGATCATTAAGTGGTCCGCCCAGACCATCACCAATTTTCAAGTGGTCCGCGGGAAAAAGAAAAGTTTGAGAACCACTGATTTACCTAGTGAGGCATTAGCAGAGCCAGGAATAGAAAACATGTATCTTGCCTCCCATTCTGGTGGCCTATCCACTGGACCACACTGCCTCAAGCTATATAAATAAATGTGCAAGTCTTTAAAGTGCTTTGAAATCTACACATGAAACAAAAATGTTAATGTATGGGCTAAACATTATTGAATCTGTTTGATAGAATAGGTTTGCCTTTCAAAGAACTATTTAGTGTTCAGCCCATATTAATGGCAGTAATAGGCCAGATTCTGATCTCAGCTCCACCCACATAAGCCTATTGAATTTAATGGTAATATTGTGGGTTTACATTGGTGGAACTGAGCTAACAATCTGGTCCAGTGATTTTACTTCCGGCTCTTTATTTTCAATCACTAGATACCTGTCTTCTGAGCATAAGTTGATAAATAAATGGAATAATAATTACATCCCACATATAAGAAGTTGATCAGAGCACCTTATCTATCTTCCCTTGTGAGGACATTACGGCTATGCCCTATTTTATTTTCTCTATACGGACAAAGCTCCTTAGAGCCAAGATAAATTCTCTGCGACTTGAAGTCTTTAGATCACGATCTGGAGACTTCAACAGCAGAGTTAAGGGAAAGTGGGGGGGTCAGCTTTTGTGGCCTGCATCATGCGGGGGGTCAGACTAGATGACCATATTGGTCCCTTCTGACCTTAAAGTCTATGAGTCTATGAGTCTATAAAACTGGTTCTAAAATTATATGTGGACTAAATTGTGGGCCTAGAAAGGGACTGTAGGAGTTCAAACACTTTGTATGGTAAACATAAAATAATTAGGTTTCAGAGTAGCAGCCGTGTTAGTCTGTATCCGCAAAAAGAACAGGAGTACTTGTGGCACCTTAGAGACTAACAGATTTATTTGAGCATAAGCTTTCATGGGCTACAGCCCACTTCTTCGGATGCATAGAATGGAACATATATTGAGGAGATATATATACACATACAGAGAGCATGAAAAGGTGGGAGTTGTCTTACCAACTCTGAGAGGCCAATTAAGTGACCATTTCAGTGAATCCTGTTTGATGTATGCATCAGAAACGTTAGCATTCGTTAACATTCTAGCTAGGCACAGTAGAGGATGTAAGGCTGAGATTTCTGTGTGATGGATCGGGCAGCTCAGGCTTGTCTATAGAATCATAGAAATGTAGGGCTGGAAGAGACTTCAAGAGTCTGCGTGCGCTGAGGCAGGATCAAATAAACCTAGACCACCCCGACAGGTGCTTGTCCATCTTGCTCTTGAAAACCTCCAATGACAGGGATTCCACAGCCTCCCTTGGAGCTTAACCACCCTTAGAGGTAGAAAGTTTTTCCTAACAGCTCACCTAAATCTCCCTTGCGGCAGATTAAGCCCATTACTTCCTGTCCTACCTTCAGTGGACATGGAGAACAACTGATCCCACCCTCGTTATAACAGCCCTTAACATATTTCAAGGCTGTTATCACATTCCCTCAAGTCTTTTCTCAAAACTAAACATGCCCACTTTTTTAACCCTTTCCTCACAGATCAGGTTTTCTAAACCTTTGATCATTTTTGTTGCCCTCCTCTGCACTCTCCCCAATTTCTTCACAACTTTCCTAAAGTGTAGCACCAAGAATAGGACATGGTACTCCTGCTGAGGCCTCACAAGCCCTGAGTAGAGCTGGACAATTCACTCCCATGTCTTACATACAACACTCCTCTTACATACAACACTCATATGCCCCAGAATGATATTTGGGATAATACAATTTGTATAGTGTATAATTAGCAGAGTAACATACCTGTCATGTCACTGCTAGTTTCTTTGTTGATATACTCCAATCTCAGTTTACATTACGAAAGAACAATGGACGTTATTACTGCTATTTGCATTTATACAAAAAGCAAACCTGTGTAGCACCCGCTCTCTGGACTATGCATGGCATTGGGAATGAGGAATTCCTGAGTTTTATGCCTGACTCTGCCACTGACTCTCTAGATAGCCTTGGGCAAATCTCTGCACTGTTCTGTGTCCGTTTCCCGTTCTGTAAAAAAGGGAGCTAATATCACCTACCTGGGGCTGTGAGAATTAATGATTTACGCTAAAATTTTCACACATAGCTGCCTAGAGTTAGGCTCCTAAATCCACATGTAGACATCTACCCGGAAGTGGTCTGACTGTCAGAGGTGTTTGGCGTCCTCTGCTCCCATGAAAGTTAAAGTAGTGTACCAGAGTGAAGAATCAGGCGCTTAGTCCCCTGCTCCACTACTCATGCTTCTCCCGCTCCATAGTATAGTACAGTAGCATGGACACTAAGGAGCTAGCATTTTGTTATCTATGGTTACTGTTTTATCAGAGCTGTGTCATTTCAAAGGAGTCCGTGCAGGATACACAGTATTCTTTGTTGGAGCAAAGCCAATAAAAGCCGTTCTTTTTTATTTCCAGTAGTGCCCGAACTGTTCTTTCCAAGCTGAGAAGAGAACAAAATGCAGCTAAGCTGATTTACACCAGCTGAGGATCTGGCCTGCAAGGTTCTTTATTTCTTTGAAATTGAGCTGCTCTCCCTAACGTAGCGGTCTTATCAGCACTATTTATCAGATGGGGAAACTGAGGCAACAGACCATCCTCCTTACCCTTTAACTTTAAAGGTTACACCAGAACCTGACCTTCTTCCCATATTTGTTCTCTAGAGGTTAGTGTGCTTGGAAGGCCTTACAAGGTCTTATCCATTTAATAGCTTCTCCTTGTTTTATTTACTTGATTCAGCACCTCCTCCTGTATTTGCCCTTTACTTGAAATGAACAAATTACTCTGATAGTTTTACTGGCCTTTCATAGTCCACCACCGTTGTTGTAAATGCCTCTTTATCACTGTGTTTCCATTGTTTGCATCTCATCCAAAGTTCTTACCACATTTCTTCTGAACAGGGCTTTTCTGCCTTTCAGCAATCTGTTGTCCATTTTCCAATTACGTTTTTAGAACACACTGGTTTAGAATGTGACATATCTAGTGGCAATGACACTGCC